GGAAAAGTTAGGAGAAAGTGTAGTGTGCTAATTACCTGATTTTTCAAGGGAGATATTAATGAGTACTGTCTGAGGTTACTATAACAAGAAGATAGGGTTACAAAAAAATATACATACTAGTATTTCTATATCAGGATATAACAGATATAAGACTTCCAAATCACAAGAAAAGCATACAGCTTGTATACAAAACCAAGTAATAGCAAGAAAATCCAAATAATCAAAGGCAAAAACAAAAGAATCATTTCTGACAAAAAACATAAAACAAATCATATTTTTAACATGTAATGTAGATGGGATATATCCACACAAAGATTACCAGTTTGCGTGAAAAACAAAGATGATGAATACAATATATGTTGTGTACACAAGAAGCATCCAGAACTAAGAAACTCAATATTGGAAAATAAAGACATAATAGTGACAAAAATAAATCTGAATTATAAATATATAAATATAGTACTGCAAAGACTAACTTTAAAGCAAATGTAAGGATAGAGGTCCACGTACAGATAAAGACATAATAGTGACAAAAATAAATCTGAACTATAAATATTAGTACTGCAAAGACTAACTTTAAAGCAAATGTAAGGATAGAGGTCCATGTACATTTACAAGAAAAGAAAACATACAGACTGTATGAAAATAAGAAGAAATGGGAGAAAACAGTAATAGCAGCAGATTTTAACTTGCAACCTTTGCAAATTCATGACAGCTCACCTACAACAAAAGTAGCGGAGGATTTAAATGACAGAATTGTTATAGCTCTGTTCAGCTAACAGAGAGGCCTCAAACTTTATGACACAAAAAGGGTACACACCCTTTTCAAGCTCCTACTTAACATGTGCAAAAATCAATACCATTTAAAGAAACAGATAATTTACAATTATATACACAAATATAAGGAGGAGAGGCCACAATCTTTCAATATACCTTAAGAGAATTAGAAATTAGTAATCCTAAATAGTAAACAACTAAGCATAGAAAAATTGTGTATCTTTTTTATTAAGTCAAATTCAAAATAATGCCGAGTTCGGTGGCACGTGCCTGTAATCTCAGCACTCAGGAGGCTGAGGCAAGAGGATCACTGAGAATTTTAGGCAAGCCAGTGCTCCACAGCAAGATCCTGCCTCAAAAAAAAAAAAAAAAAAAAAAAAAAAAAA